ACGTAAGGAATATTAAACATTAAAATATTAAATACAAATAAGTTTGATGATTGTAGCCACAGTCTTATAACTCGACATGTGTCCCACTCGAGGTTTAGAGTAGAGTATCAAGTCGTACACTCGAATTGATATTCGAAAATATTTTGACTAGTCTAGTACAGCTATGATCAGTCTTAATCACATATGACTCAATTTACAGCAATGTCCCTCATAAAATATTTCGAGAAAAAATCTTAAATGATGAAGCCAACCATAAGTTCAAGAAACACTACTCTATATTTTTGCAGTACAGAAGAAAAGAAATGAATTGACTCTTCTCAATCAAGGTCATATGTACAGATGAGCCATCTATGTTAATATACATCGCCATTTTTTAGATCTCTAGAGTCACCAATGGCACAACCATGCTACAATGAACCATGTTACCCTCCACCTTGCTATAATGCATCACCAGTAGGTCAACCCGGTTATGGCCAACCCGTTTATGGTCAACCCGTTTATGGTCAACCGGGCTATTGCCAACCAATAGGTCAACCCAGTTATGGTTTAACAACAACTTAGCCACTCTTTTATCAGCCGCCGGTTGTTCTTATGCATCACGATGAAGATGTTCAACATGGATGTCATTTTCTTATGTGTCTTCTCTCAGGTGGTTTAACACTACCTTTTTGGATTTGTGCAAGCCTTGGAATTTGTTGCGAACGACCTTGTTAAGAACAACTTGTAAATTTTTAGTATATTCGGAATACAGTGACATTTTTCGTCGATTTATCTTAATAAAATTTCTGTTGTTGGTGATGAAATAGAACACAGGTTTAGCAGATTACTAATTGGATCTGTTTTTTCTGAGTATCAACCTGAAAGGCCTTTATAGTTTCTACATTTTTGAACTTTTCCTCAGTAAATTTTGGTGTCTAATTATATCAACTCGAAACATTTTTTTTCTAGATATTAAAAAATCTTCGTTGATAGATCACAAGCAACTAAGTCTATAAGCCCAAAAGTATGTAAAACAATACTAAAAAATGGTAAAGGCTAAAATAATTTTGAAAAATACACTTTAGACAGTAAAGAAGGTATCCGCCTAAGATCAATAATAGACTTACTCTCTTTTCTCCCTCAAAATGGTTCCTGAAGTAGTAAAAAAGTTTTCTAATTCGTTTCTGAATCGATTCGCACATCAACCAAACCCTCTGTACAATACAAAACCCCTTCGTGTTATCATCAGTAGTTCATCAATTAATCCTCGTACTGGGATCACGCGTAACACGGATTAATAGACTTTCTCCATGTTCCTTTCAGTTCCAACTTCAAATAAAAATATAGTTCGATAGTTCCTGAAATTTTCTACAAGCTGAGCTAATTCGAATTTCTAAGTTTGCACGGCCATGCACCATTGGTTACAAAAAGATGCTTAGTAACGTATTTAGCACAATCGCGAGGTGGTTTATATGTCGAAAAATGGTTTAAAAAGAAATAGAGAAGAATAGGATGGAGATGAAAGAGTTGAATAAAAGCTTCTGTATCAGCTTATTGCTTAAGATCTTCCATGCATGTGCTTGGCTTTATTAAAAGTGCTGATCGCATAGGTATAATCACATTCTAACGATTTACAGTATTAAGTGAAGAGTGTTCGTTTTTGAACTCTTTTGTGAGCATTGTATTGGTTGTGGTGCCTGGCCATGCGAACTTAGAAACTCGAATTGGCTCAGCTTGTAGAGAATTTCAAGAGTTATCGAACTATATTTTTATTTGAAGTTGGAACTGAAAGGAACATGGAGAAAGTCTATTAATCCGTGTTACGCGTGATCCCAGTACGAGGATTAATTGATGAACTATTGATGATGAAATGAAGGAGTTTGGTCAACAAGAAATACGAGAAACGATCCAGAATCGAATTTGAAAACTTTCTTATTATTTCAGGAACAGTTTTGAGGAAGAAAAGAGAGTGAGTTCTGTATGATCGGGTAAACATCATTCAGAAGGCGTCGCTTTCTATGCATTTCTTCTTAATTTGTCGTCTCAATCCGTATTTGAATACCATTTCGTTGTTGAGATATGAGAAAAATTATAGTAGCCTGAAGCAGCATAACGCCATTTTTCGGAAAGCTTGAAACATTCTTATTGGGTACACACACATTTAGACTTTTTTCTTACAATTATTGGCCCTGTCAATAGACGCGGTACAATTCGCATTCAGTTCAGGGAATTGAGGACGGTGTTGCCATCTCCACTCAAATGAATGGAAATTGTTTCTGTAATTCACCATTCATTTTGTAAGTCTAGAAATATTTATGATGTAGCACATTTAGTATAAGTGGGATTCGAATGTGAGAAGGGAGTATGACAGAACCGGAAAGCAGCAATTAAAGGTAGTACTGTGTTTCATATCAAGCTATTATCAACAGAAATATTCATTTCTAGGCTACCAACAATGGGATCGTCCATTTAGGTGCATTCCTCGTCTAAACTGCAAAAAATCTCGAGGGATGAAAACGCTCTTGATATTGCTGATAACCAAATTCGATTCATCATTAGCTGTAATGGTGAACATTGGTGAAAATACATATTCAGATGAAAAATTCCTGAAAAAACGGCCTTAACGCTACATGCCCTTTTCCGCAGTTTTTATCAAGAACTTGCATAAATGCTCAAATTTCTTCTTTAATCTCATTTTGTAGATTGAAGAAATCAATCCGATTCTGACAAAGTTCTTGATTTATATTTTCAAAGAAATGAAGAGTTTCCATTTACTAATAATTATTGTATACTTTTATTAAGACACATTCGTAAGCAAAAGTATGTCATACAAAATCACACTTCGGGGGATGGTCCAGTGAAAATGGGTCACTTTTTGTTTTCGATTTTTCTCAGCTGTGTTTCATTCGTTTAACTTCGTTTATATACCGCAAGATGCGTCTTGAAATTCTCCACAAAAATCGTATTAAGCGCTTTATTAAAACAGTAAAAGTGGGTGGATATATGAAAAACAATGATAAAGTTTGAAATAGTCAACTTTCTAACTGAAATAATAGTTTTGTTGGTTTAATTCCTTTATCTGTTGAGATATGGAAAAATCTAACTATGCAATTTGTAGCGCTTGAAAGCTCTATCGTCTAGCCATAATCAGAGTTTTATCACACCGCAACTGATTATATGAGAATTTCTTATTTTTATTCGTTTTCCAAACGATAATTATTTTCACTCATGAGTTTCGCACTATTGTGTAGAATCGGCATAACCCGTACAAAATCAAACTTTTTGGATTCGGATTTTCTTTATTCTATAGTGAAAAGAGATATCTTTTATATCCAAATATAAGAAGTACAACAACTCTCTTTCTTACAATGCTGAGTGAGAAGATGAAATTTTCGTCGCTCTTCACTAAATTTCAAAAAGGTTACCCGTTGCATCGTAACACTAGGCTCAGACGAAATCCATCATACACGATGAGAAAGATCATCAGAAAACTTATTTTAGTATATCTTGGCAACTGTGTAAGCGTTTGAAAAAAGTTTGAATTCGCTCAAAATACTTTAGAAAGTTGACTATTTCAAACTTCATCAGTGTTTTTCATATATCCGTCCACTTTTACTTTGTAAAACGTTCAATACAATTTTTGTAGAAAATTTCAAGGTATATGAATGAAGTCAAACAGTTGAAACATGGCTGAGAAAAATTGAAAACAAAAAGTGACTCATTTTCATCGACCCACCTGATGTATATGCATTTTTTTTCGAAACAAAACAGTTAAAAACTCTTCTCAGCTATAAAAGAAAAGTTGCGTATGATTCGATGACAACGGTGTATATACTGTTTGAACTAAATCACAAAAAAATGTGGTAAATCATTAGAAAAAGGTACTAATAAACACGAATTTAATGTATTTATTTTCAGTCTTTTTCGATTTAATTCATAATATTGTCGATTCTATTTGATAGCAACTTGTTGACAAGGTCATTAAAATGTAATGTAAATGTTATGTCTTTCTTTCCTATTGTATAAAAGTTTTCTACGTGGTATGAAAAAAAGAAAAAAAAAGAATGAAACATGTTGTAGAAAGTAAATGCGTGTGTCTGTTATAATATTCATTGGCACGTGCATAAAAAGAAAGAGGTAAAACAAAACATGACTCAAAATGCTTCATCATACTAATGAAATTCTTTTTCTAGAAAGGTAGATACGTCTATAGAGAAATAATATTCTATATCGACTCTTGCAGGTCTTTATAGAAACTCATTGAATATTTTTAATACATACACACACACACACTACTTTGCATTAACATTGTTTTGCTACTGACTAAATGTAAGTTAAATCTTTATCTTGTCATAATATTTTAGTATTTTAGATAGTTAAAATATTATAATATAAAAATGACTGAGCCAGATTTTAAAAATACTAATTTGGATTCAGCTGAAAAAAATGCAAATCTATTATCGACTGATACAGCCATTAATCAGAACAAAGCCCTTATTAATAGTGACATATCATTGTCTGCAACAGATAATTCATCATCAATGTTGAAGACACAAGAAACCAATTTAGAGGCAATTGTATTTCCACAACCAGTAGGTATGTATGAGAAAGAAAAGAAGCTATGAGAAAGCATCAATAGTAGACCGTTGAAATAGACGCTTCTTCGTTATGAGGAGTCATCTGCTATGGATGTGCGAGTATTGCGACCAGTTCAATAGGAAATGAACAAAACTAGTAAAAAAAAGATGGTTCATTCAGATTACCGAACGATATTTTCTTACAACATGTAGCTTTTCTGTTCGATTGTTTCAGTATTCTTACGCACTATACAAGTCTTGTATGTAACTTGTATAACTTTGGCGAAAAAAATAAAACTGAAGAAGAAACGGGGAAAAAATGATCGATACTGATAAACAATGTATAACTCATTTGACGTTATTTTACAAGGCATAAGACGATAAAATAGAGCACACAATCAGTTGGAGTAACGAGTACTCTGAAATCACAGACGTTTCCTTAGATAATAAATTCAGCATATTGCTCATGACCCGTCAGAGCTGCTTTCAAAGTAAAAGATTCACATTCGACGGGTAAAATTGTTACTCAAAAACCTGTGTGAAAGAGATGAGAGATGTCTAAGTAGCATCGTCAGACATCGCTTGTTGTTTTTGCTTGAAATGGCAGAAATAGCAGGAGTAGCATTACTTATCCAAATTATACAAACAAGAAAGAAAGAAAGACTATAACTGGTCAGTTAATAGAACAGATACACTACTATCAACTGAAGGTTCTGTAGAAAACTCTTATTTTAGAAAAATATATACTTTTTGCACCAAATCCTTTTCATCTGGTACACGAAACATTCGAAGCTCTGAAACCAGCAGGGTTTTCGGTATTTAACAAAGAAACTTTTCTGAACTTTTGTGCTCAATACGAAATCTGTTAGGTTCTGTGAAAAATCATTTTTTCTAGCCTTTGAGAACTACTTTCAATGTAAAAGAATTTCTATTCAGGCAAAAGTTGTTACTTAAAACAATAAAAGCACATAGATATCAGGATCACCCGTTTACAAATTACTCTAA